ACTATCTTGGATAATCTTTAGTCCCTTCGGTGGCTGTCCACCCATCTGACCGACATCCTTTACAGATAAAGCTTCTGGGGTGCATTAACTTAGCAGGACACTAGCTCCCATTACCCCAAAAGCCAAGACCATTATCAAACAACATCTGAGACCTACAGATTTCCCCCACCTGCTGTAGCTAGCCACCTCAAGTTCCAGGCAACATACTGGCACACTTCCTTGAATCTTGACCTTTTTTTTTTTTTTTTTTTTTTTTTTTGAGACAGTGGCCAGATAGCTCTGGCTGGGTTAGAACTTGCCATGTAGTCCAGGCTGGTTGTGAATGTGTGGTGCTCTTCCTTGCCTCTGCCTCAGAATGCTGGGATTGCAGGTGTGTGCTGCCAGACCTAGATGATTTATGACTGTCTTTTGTTCTGACAATGAAAGTTTATGTAACTATTTCCATATTAAGGCATGTTATTCATACTGGTGATGGCGGCACACCCCTTTAAACCCAGCACTTGGGAGGCAGAGGCAGGCGAATTACTGAGTTCAAGGCCAGCTTGGTCCAGGATGGCCAGAGCTACACAGAGAAACCGTGTCTCAAAGACAGGCAAGCAAACAAACAACAAAAATAGACATGTTATTCAGGGCAACCAGATGTATGTTCCTAGGCCACAGTCATTCATATTTGAATGACCTCTTGTTTCCTTTGACAGCTGTGTTTTGTGTGGGTGACTTTACAAAGAGTATCAATGTGGCCAGATGTGGCCTGTTAATCCCAGCATGTGAGAGGCTGAGGCAGGAAAACTGAAGGCTCCAAGCTATTTTGAGCTACACAGCCTTAAGATCAAAAGGGGGGGGGGGGGGGGGGGGATATGTGTGGTGTGGTGTGAGTATTAACACAGAATTGTTGTTGATACTTGTACCAGAATTAAAAAATATAAACTTGAGCCTCTCCCCCTCTCCTCCATGGGTAAGTCCTCTCCAGATTATCTATCTTCTCATACTGTCTTAGTTAGGATTAATACTGCTGTGACGAAACAACATGACCAAAAGCAACGTGGGGAGAAAAGTGTTTATTTGGTTTATATATACATGCAATCACAGTCTACCCGGGGCAGCCATGGCAAAAACTCAAACAAGGTGGGAAGCTGGAGGCAGGACTGATGCTTAACCACGGAGGGGTGCTGCTTACTGGCTGTCGTCCCATGGCTCCCTCCACCTGTTTTCTTAAAGAACACAGAGCCACTAGCCCAGGGTTTACCACACCCACAATGGAAAGGGCCCTACCCCATCAATCACTAAGAATATGCTCTACAGGCTTGCCTACAGCCTGATCTTATGGAGGCATTTTCTAGCACATCAAGTTGACATAAAACTAGCCAAGACACACCTTACCTCTTAAGCCCCCAGAGTAATGTCAAGTTGCTGGACATCATTCACATATCTGTACTTGCATCATACAAACCAGCAGCAGCATCTAGTCCAGAGAATAAATGCTGGGGCATTTCGTAGCTCCATCATTCACACTAAAGACTTCAGCAGGGCCAGATACCCTCCCCACCTCTCAAAATTTCCTTCATATTCTCTTCACTCAAGGAACTGAGTAAAAGTGCACTTTTCAGATACCTGTGATTTCGCCCATGTTCCCCTCCTTCACCCTCTGGAGCCTTTCTGGTCAGAGAACAAATGTCATTCCTTGTTCTGCAACACTTTGAACACATGTCAACTGCTGCGTGAATCACACTGTCCTGTGTCCATGTCCCTCTCCTACCAGGCTAGGTGATCCATGAGGATAAGGGACAACCACATATTGACTCCCTCACAAGTGAGCTTTTCCCCACATGCTAACCACCAGCTAGTCGTAGTGGTTCATGCCCATACTGCCAGCATTGAGGAGCAGAGGCAGGAGGATCTCCAGTTGGAAGCCAGCCAGAGCTACACAGCAAAATCTAAGTAAGAAAAAATTTAAATTGACTCCCTGGAAGCCCCATCACTAACATGTCAAAGAATATGAGCCATTCCTACTACCTTAAATCCCTACTTCCACTCAGGTCCCACAACCCTTGCCAACCTATCCAACTCCAGCTCTACCTTAAAATGGTATTCCTTTCACTATTGGATCCCTTCTTGTCTTCAAATTACCCATCCAGGAATTTCAGGCAAATTCTTTTCCTGCCAAAACTCTCACTGACTCCCTCCTGAATATCCAAGGTCTTGAGCTGAGCAATCATGTTTCCCAGCCATCGTATCTCACAAGGGACCTTGGCATAGTCTGTCATGACATTCCACCTCATATGTGGTTTTCTGGCTTCCACATCTTTGTCAACAATGAAGTACCTGGTAATCTGCCTGGCTTTTCAAAGTCCACCTAAAATGCTGCCTCCTCCAACACACAGAACTAGAGTCCATGCCTTTCCTGAACCCTCAAGGGCATTACCTCGCTCAAACAGCAGCTCCCACTTGCCTCCCTTGGACTGCTGGAGACCTAACTAAGTCACAGTCCACTCTCATAGTTGTAACAGAAAATCCAACCTTGAGAGCCAGAGCAGGTGGCCTCCCCCACTCTCATTCTCTCTCCTGGCACAGACACGGACTGAAGCTACAAAGTGTTCTACTACTGAGCTGCGCCCCTTAACCCCACAGGAGCTGCTTAAAACTCTTCTTGGGCTGGGGTATAGCTCAAAGGAAGAGTGCTCATCCAGCTTACCTAGTGTATACAAGGCCTTGGCTTTCATCCTCAGCACCATCAAAAATAAAAACTTCTGTTTGTGAGATTGGGTTCCTCTGTGTAGATAAGGCTGACCTCAGACTACCAACCTCACACCTCAGCCTCCAGAGTTCTGGGACTAGGTATGTTTCACCACAGTCACCTGGCTAAACTTTTCTTAGCTGTGTTTCCCCCTCAAAGCCATTTCTTCTCATACCAAGTTAGCAGTTTCCTCCCCCACCCCCCCAAAAAAAAGTTACAAAGTAAAACAAGCTGTAGCGGTCAACTCTTACCCTGAACCTCAAGGGAGAGGAAAAAGGATCTCTTGTAAGTGGGAAGGTTACATTATGAGTAATATATGTTGAAAAGATAACAGGGCAGGTGACATTACCATTACCAAAATTTGACACACCTTTCCCATCGGCTGTGCTACATTGTGTGGCACTAGCAGACACACTAGCGAACTGGGGTTAGGTTTGGCAGGATAGACAAGGTAGAAGGGAAGCACCTTCTACCTCTGGGGTAGAAACAGAGCAGACACACATCAGTCTAACACACTAGAAAACAACATGGCACATGGTTAGTGATGGCACATGCCAAACTCTCAGAGCTCGGAGGCAAGGCTAGAAGGACTAATTCAGCCGGTCACCACAGCAGGACTGTCTTACAGTTTTCTCTTAAGAGGGCAGTTCACACTGATAGGAAGCCCTACAGGTCCCAGCACACAAGACAAGGACTTCCTGAAGGAAGATGACAGTCTAATATAAAGTGAACTAAGAGAGAAAGAGAACAATGCAATCCAAGCAATGAAGCCAGAAGGAACACCACTGGGGAAAAAAGCCCTAACGGGAGGCAAAGGCCAGAGTAAGGAGAGGAATGGGTGCATGGAGGAAAACTTAGAGCTGACAGGCTTCACGCATGTTTTTAGCCCTGAATAGTAAAAGAGTGGGTGCAGAGGAGAAAGGAGGGAAACAGTAAGGGGTTATACCATTTATTCAAAATCAAGTAACCCATTTAAGGAATTAAGCACAAGAAAACCAACTGGATCCAACATCAATGATTTCAGCCCACACTGGGAAGAATCATACAAGTGCCTTACAGACTACTCACATTAAGCAGTAGCATCTTCTTTTAAAATTAAATCTAACTACATCAGGAGCTACAATCACTCAAGAGTAATGTGAAATTTGTGATGTAGTCTGTAAAAAAGGTCTCCCCAGCGCTAAGTTGTTTGACAAGCATCACCCATTCGGGTTCTAGAAACAAATACCTGACCCATGAATTCTGGTGCCTTACAGACGGGAAAGTTTGGAGAAACATGAGTACCTGAAGGTGTTCAGGAAGTAAAGCTGGTGGCTTCAAACCGGGAGGTGCAGTGAGGGGCTTTCTCCAAAGTTCCCAGATCTGACCCTCCAAATACCGCAGGAGAGGAAGCACCACCTTATCCCTCAACTTTCTACTCCTCCCCTGTAGCTGAAGATGCTATACCATACAGCTTCAGCCATTATGCCTTTCTCCCACGCAGGTCTTGTAGGACTCTCTTGCATAGAAACTTAACTAAAATGTCGCTTTCCCCAGGCAACCTGTCGACTCCTTGGCTATTTCACTGGCTCAATGAGATTTTGTAGGCATAGAAGGCGTCACATTCAAATTTCGCTACTGTTTTCTGACGAAGGGGAGGGGCTGATGGCGGTGTTGAGTAGGTATGAGGTCTGAAATACTGAATAGACAGACACAAGGTGAGTCACCGCTTAGTTTCAGTTTCTCCAGCTGTTCGTTTAATAGAAGGAAAAGAGTCCTATCACAGCGTCCTCGCTGGATTTTTAAAGGCTGCGTTATTCCTTGTACTGGTACTCGGCGGAATGTCAGATGTGGTACACGCATCATACAATCGTAGAACATCAACAATACAGGAATAATGTTATTTTTAACGCAGCCACAAAACATCCTACCTCTGAAGTGTCTGGCCATTACTTATCATTATGCTTCCCCCTCCCGACTTCCAAGAGGGCCTAGGAACTCCAAAGGGTTAGGAAACCCTGCCGTGGCGGCCTGGAGGGTGAAAACCAGCCAGGAGCTTCGAGCCTTGCGCACATCCAAGGGACTGGAGGAGCGACAGCGCGACCGCACAGCGCGCGTGCTCCGGGCCCGACCGCTCTGCCTTCTGCGCACCTCGCCTACTTTCATCTTCGCGAGGGACCAGGGAGGGAGATGCTTTCGCAGCAACCTTTACAAATGGGGGCACCGCGGCTCCCGGGATGAAACCGCTAACTAAGCCCCGCGGCCCGGCGATCCAGGCCGGACTCACCTTGGCGCTATGCACCGCCTCCTGCGCGCCGCGGAGCTGCAGCCAGATGCGCGCGGGCAGCGGCTCCTCCGCCCCGAGGACGCCGAGCACCGCCAGGCCCACGCCGAACAGAGCCTCGATGCGACCGCGGCTCCGCTCCAGCAGCGCCGCCTTCTCGGCTGGAGCCGTGAACTCGTCCAGCACCACCCGGGCCGCCATGGCGGGCGCGGCCTCCCGTGGCGCCGGGGGCCAGCGGCGGCGACGCCCCCTCAGCGTGCCGCCGCTGCACCGAGCCGCTCAGGAGGCGTGGGCCGCGCCGGCCGCCTCGCCCGCCCGCCCGCAGGCCCCGCTACACCATCACGACACGGCCGCCGCAGCTTAGCAACTGTGGGCAGTGACTCCCCGCCGCCCCGCCGCCGCCACAGCCGCCGCCACGCATGCGCTCAGCCCGCCGCCGTCATTGAAGATCGCCGCCCCCGTCGCGAAGGGAGGGTTGGTGGCTGAGGGCGACGGAAGTCGACGCCACACGTGGTCACCATGTTGGTTAAGGGCAAGCGTCGGCAGCCGAGGCCTGGGTAGCCATATTTGACGAGGGCCTGGTACCTTTGGTCATCTGATAGATGGAAGTTTCTGGTTTTACATAGGTAGGCAGATGATTCTTCTTTTCCTCTCTCTTTACTTCTTTCTCTTATTTAACTTCTTTCAGGGAAAAAAATGCTAACAGGAAAAGAACATGGGACTACTAGTGGATAATTGAAAGGCCAAATGAATTGAATAAATTGCGTACATAGTGTCAGTTACCTGTGATCCCAGCGGGATTGAAGAGTGAGGTAGGCAAATAGTCGTCTGCTGAAGGCAAGTCTGAGATACATAGTTCCAAGTGAAACCTTGTCTCAAAAACCAAGTGAGTGATGGCTCTGTGATTAAGCGTGCTTTGGGGGTACTCATAAGGACTGGGAGTTTGGATACCAGCAGTCACATGTTAAACCTGTAACTTCAGCTCCGAGGGAGATAACAGGGCTTGCTGATTTCCAGTTTAGCTGAGAAAGGGCAAAGGAGGAGTAGATGAGAAGTGGTAGAGGAGATGACCCGAGGCCCCTCTGGCTTCTACCTGGAGAGACATGTTTACCAACCATTACATACTTGTGCCCATACACTCACAGCAAATACATACATAAAATAACTCCAAGATAAATCCATTCATTAAAAATTGGGCATGGTGTCACAAGTCTGCAATCCTGGCAGCGCTCAGGAAGTTGAACCTAGAGTGTCAAGACTTCAAGACAAACTTTGACAAGGGCCAGATCCAGCCTCAGAAAGGTCTGCAGCTCTCAGCCTATGATCTGTCCCTTGCATTCTCCATTATTCTTTCCTACTCTCCCACTTCCCTACCCTGGCCATGTCCAATCTGCTTTCTTTTCCCTCTGCTCTGGAATCTTCAGATGTCTCTGGATAGTCTCTCTCTCTCTTACCCCCCCCCAAAAAAAAAACTACCACCAACAAAAACAGTTTCCCCCTAATGGAGTGGCTAGGTGGGCAGTTTCTTTACTGCACCCCCTCAAATACAAGAAAGATGTGTGAGAGACACAATAGGGATTGGTGGGCTGGATCGTGATCATTCAGTGGGACTAGGGCAAATAAGCCCAAATCCTCTTCAGGTCTTTTTCCATCTGCAAAATCAAAGGTGTCACCTACTTGACTCCAATGTTTTTTCCCACACTATGAGTTTTCTTGAATCCTTGAAAACAAACTATGAAAAGTAAAGTGTTGGTTTTCTTCCTGAGCTAAGTATTGTGAACACAGTAAGTACAACTAATGGGAATATTGCTTAGCTTCTCTGTATTGTTAACTCTTCATTGGTACAATGTAGTAAACAGTAGTCCTATTGTGACAGTTTAATACTAACACAAAATGCTCATTAAACACTAGCTAGAGTGTAAGGCTCTCACTCCTTATCAAAATTAACCAGAAAAGTCCCTCTACCAAGAACAGCCACATGTAATGGGGGAGGGAGGTAATCAATCCTGCCTGAGATTCCTGAGCTGCAGGTTGTACACTGATGCTGCTCCAGTGAGTTCCCTAAAGTTTCAGCTTTGCAAGCATACTCCCTGATCCCTCACCCACCCCCCAAGACTCTGATTTTCTCGTAGTTGTCCAGTGCATCATGGGAACAGTGCAGTATTAACAGTCAGCATGATTTATGTTGGACTATAACAGTACCTGATCATCTTCAAAGCTCCAGCTTTTTTCTTTTTCTTTTTTCTTTTTCTTTTTTTTTTTTTTTTTTTTTTTTTTTTTTTTTTTCTTTTTTTCTTGTCTGCATAGCTCTGGCTGCTCTGGAACTTGCTATGTAGACCTGGCTGGTATGAGTGCTGAGATTAAAGGCATGCAGCACCACGCCTGACTCTGCTTGACTAATGAAAACATTCTTGGCGGGAGCAGGAGGGATGCAAACTGGCCATTACTGCTGAATATGGAAACTGTTGTTTGCTTGTTTTTTGAAACAGGGTTTCTCTGTAACAATTCTGGCTGTTCGGGAATTAGCAAACTTTTAACGCCTCAGGTTTCATGACAACCCTGTGTAGGTTTATTTCAGCCACGTTGAAGTGTGGGTCTGTACCATCTGTGTGCCTCCTCCCAGAAAGAGAAAGAAAAGGATCTAAACCATTGGAGTCATTAACGGCAATGGGGGGGGGAGGGGTGTTGGTGAGAGGGATTACCCCATTAAAATCTATCAGGGGGCCAGGCTGCTGGGGTTTTCCATGCTTCAGAAACTCGGGCAGGTGTTCTCCTGGTGCCTTACCAAAAGATGACTCAGTACAGAGAAGAGAAACCCTGGGCTCACAGGCCAGCTTCCTCTTCCTTCTGGGCTTTTCCCTGGTGTCCACACAACCTGCAGTATTACTCCATCAGACCAATTATCTGGGATTGGTTGCGGCAGACCAGGTGGTTAGTATGACCTTGCTGATGTATGGTACCCAGCACCCAGTGTTATCAACACAACTTGTCATCTCCTTGGTTGTACTCAATGGAATCACTATTGTTCACCAAATGGGCAGGGCTTTCCCCAACACTGTTCCTGTGTGTTTCCAGTAACTTCCCTGCCAATGATTCTGTATTAGATGTAAGGGGTGGGGAGAGGGACTGTCTTCAAAAGCACAAAATAGCACCCTCCTTTCTAGACTCTAAAACAACAGAAGTAGTGCAGCTAATTGTGACAGTGCACCCCTGTAATCCCCGTTTTTATGATGCTTGAGGATCAAAGATCAAGGTGAGGTTAAGGAAATGCTAAAGTGCATTCAGAGTTAATGAACTGGTACATCATCGAATATATACACCTTTGGGGTAGTTAGACTTCTTTGCAGTTTGTATTTGTTCAGCATTCGCCTTTGAGGACCCATCTTGCTTTTGAGTATAAAGAGCAAGGAATGAGGAAGACAGGAGAGAGCACATTCAAGCAACTCCCTTGCTTCGTTGCTTCATGCAGCCTTTAAACCACAACTTCCTTAGTTGACTAGCCTTGCCTGCCTGACTGGCCCTGCCAGCCCAGGATTGATGGTATGGACGAGATCTTTCTGGAGTCTGCATTCCATACTCCACTGTCTTTCTCTGTCCTCTATAACAACCTCATGTGACAGTACTGAAGAGAATCACTTCTTGAGCTTCTCTTTCAAGAGGACAAGTAGTTTCCCTCTGTGCCCTCAGACAGGTAACATCTGGAGGAACCTAGCTCTCTCGGTTTCCTCCACTTGCCACTCATCCTTCCTCAGAGTAGGGGAAAGAGCTCAGATGGTGACTTCTGTGCTGTGACTTCCATGCTGTGTCAGGCATTGTACCCCTAGGAGAAAGGACATACACTGTTAGTAGCTGCCTGTGGTTGCTTATTTGTGCCAGTGACTGGTTAGAGGGTTCCCACTTCAGTCATACCCTCCAATATCACTTTTATCAATAATAAATGTGAAATCCTAAACAAATAAAACCTGGTTTAGAGGCTGAAGAGCTGGCTCGGAGATTAATAGCATTTGACTCCTAGCATCTACATGGCAGCTTACATGTATAAATCATGATTCCAGTCCCAGGAGATTGATCTGATGCCTTCCTTGGGCACCAGCTACATTCAGTCAAAACACCCATACACATAAAAATATCTAGATTAAAACTATCTTATTATGTATTTGTGTGTGGTATATGCACGTGAGTGAAGGTGCCCTTAGAAGCCAGAGATGGCAGATCCCCTGGATCTAGAATTACAGGTAGATAGGAACATTACAGGTAGAAAGGTCATGGACTTTGGGAACCAAGCTCACATTGTAACAATACACACTCCTAACTACTGAGCCATCTCTCCAGGCTCAATGATAACATTTTGTAGCTCTGGCTGTCCTGGAATTAGCTGTTTAGTCCAGGCTGGCCTCGAATCTACAGAGATCCATCTGCCTCTGCCTCCCGAGTGCTGGGATTAAAGGCGTGTGCCACCACCACCTCCTGGATAAAGATATCATCTTAATCCCTACCAAACTCTCTAGTACCATTTCTGGTGGCAGTAGCTGTGCGGACGAGTAAAGCTGGGGACTCAGCCTCAGCTTTCACCCACATTAGGTGTTTTGCCACTGAGTCACATCTCTGGCCTCTGGCTATTGATTTTGTTTCTTAGCTTCTAACTCAGAAGGCTCAGAATGAATGTGCCCTGACCTCCTGAACTTCCAATAGTGGATACCTTAGAGATGAGGATAGAGATCTAGAACATTTCACTGAGTTGATAAGTATGTCAGTAGGAATAGGCATTGGTGTTCAGGTAGCCTGGCTCTGCTTATCCTGAGTGCTATGCCTTAGTGACAAGCCTTATGTACAACCAGTCCTTCCTTTCTCCCCTTGAACTAAAGAGTAAGAAGAGATAATGCATGCTGGAGGGATGGCTCAGCAGTAAGTGCTGCATACTGCTCTTCAAAGAACCTGAGTTCAGTTCCCAGCACCCATGTATGGCTCACTTGGCTCTAACGCCAGGTTGGGAGGTATCAAACCAAGACTTCCAGCCTCTGGTCATCTGTTTCATGTGTGGACACACACCCATACCCATAATTAAAAATAATAAAAATGAACCTTATGTTAAAAAAAAAAGGAAAAGATAATGTGCTATCATCGTTTACAAACCCCTCATTTTTGGCCTTGGGTGTTTTCAAAATAGACTGCATTTGGAATGCTGCTCCTCTGCCAGTCAGTCTGACTTACGATGCTAACAGATTTTAGATGCTGCTGGCCCAGTGTTTATTCAGTGTGTTTTCCTGGACTCTGTTTCCACTGTAATCACAGGAGTGTGGGTTGGGAATCAAGAATACAGTTGTGTTTCAACTACACACGGTATTAACCTGCCTGTTCATTGTTCAGAAAAACTGTATCCTAAGCTATAGCATATAGTATGCTGGAGTCTTTAGAGCACTGGTTCTGAACATGTGGGT